TATATATGTATGTATGTTTATGTACATGTATATATGTATGTATGTTTATGTACATGTATATATGTATGTATGTTTATGTACATGTGTATGTATATATGTATGTATACACTGCCAGTAAAACGAAAACCCGCTTCCTCCCACACTCAGAGATTCATCGTTGACAACATGGGCAAGTCGTACATCGAGCCTCCGACCTTTGACCTCGCAGGATCGTACGCCGACTCCACCTGCTGCATGCCTCTCATCTTCATCCTGTCACCGGGAGCCGACCCGATGGCAGCCCTCCTCAAGACCGGCGACGACATGGGTTACCGTGGCAACATGATACAGACCATCTCGCTGGGACAGGGGCAGGTGTGTAGCGTGGGGAGTCGAGTCAGAGCATCTCGCGGTGTTGACGGTGTTTGGTTGCTTGGTTATTCGCGATCGCAGTGGTTGTGGGGCACATGCGTGACGACGTGGCGTACGTGGGTGTGTTTTACAGGGGCCCATCGCTGAGCGTATGATCGAAGCCGCGCTGAAGAACGGATCGTGGGTCGTGCTACAGAACTGCCACCTGGCGACGAGCTGGATGCCGAAACTAGAGAAGATATGTGAGGAGGTAAGTGTCGCGCCGAACGACTGATGTTTCACAACCTATCGTTAGTCTGTTAGTTATTGTTCACATGTATTGTGACATGTATTAACTACAGCAGACGGAACGTTGTACAATAATATGTACATGTAAATCTTTCACAGCCTACCGTCAGTATATATAAGTTATAATTCGCATGTTTTGTGACTTATATTATATATATAGCAAAACAAACGTTGTACACGTTCATGTACATGTAAATGTTTATGTACACGTAATGTACATGTACATTGTACAACATACATTTACACGTATGTATTATGACATACATTACATATAGCAGAAGGAACGTTGTACAAGTACGTGTACCTGTAAGCTATCTGTATCAATCTATAAATTGCTTGCATTAAATGACATATTATATACAGCAAATAGCAAATTGTACATGTAAGGGACACTTTGGCGGCATTTCACTCGAGTGACCCACTTGAGTCTACATTAGTCCGCTCATCCCATCCTAACCGCCGCACGCGCACGCGTGTTCCTGCCGGCAGGTGATAGTACCGGAGCGGACTCACACTAACTTCCGGCTGTGGTTGACCAGCTACCCGTCCGAACAGTTCCCAGTCTCCATCCTGCAGAACGGAGTGAAGATGACGAACGAACCGCCGAAGGGACTGCGAGCGAACCTGCTACGCTCCTACCTCAACGACCCGATATCCGACGCCGAGTTCTTCGTCGCCTGCAACAAGACGCAGGTGTGCACGAGTGGCTCCCTCTATCTCGCGTCCCTCTCGGTTTTATTCCGCTTATGAGTCTGTTTCGTTTTAATTATATTTTTTGGTGACTTTTATGTAATTTATATTTTCATCTATGTAATGTAATTTATATTTTCATTTTAACGTTTAGTATTGGTAAAATTTGACGAGAGTCAATTTTTTATTAAGTGTTGTAAGATTAAGGAAAGTCGATACTATACATGGTAACTTTATGAGTATTATGTTTATTATATCGGTAGAACTAATATGTTAATGATGTTGATGTTAATTGTGGGTGGGGGTCACGGGTGGTGGGTTAATTGTACATGGTAACATTATATGAGTATTATGGTATATATGAGTGGCCCTAATGTTAAGGATATAAAGGTTAATTTGAGTTGGGTAGGCGGTCAGTGGTACTTGGTAACATAACGATGTTGTTGTTGTTGTTGTTGTTGTTGTTGTTGTTGTTGTGTAGGCTTGGCAGAAGCTGCTGTTTGGTCTCTGCTTCTTCCACGCGCTCGTACAGGAGAGGAGGAAGTTTGGACCGCTCGGATGGAACATCCCGTATGAATTCAACGACTCAGATCTGCGCATCAGCATGACCCAAGTGCAGGTGAGAGTGTAGCAGCAGCAGCAGCAGTAGCAGCAGCAACAGCAGCAGCAGTATAACAGCAGTAGTAGTAGCAACAGCAGTATACCAGCAGTATAACAGCAGTAGCAGCAGCAGTATAACAGCAGTAGCAGCAGTAGCAGCAGCAACAGCAGCAGCAGCAGCAGCAGCAGCAGCAGTAGCGAACTTTTAGCTTTAGTAATGGTGTAAGCACTGAGAAATGGGCTACAAAGCACAAATGTTGAAGAATAAATCTAGTGTAAACCGAGTCAAACACTGTAAAGCTTTTCTCAGTTCATTTGAATCAGGAAAGAGAGTTTATGGTTGGTAACTATCTGCGTTTCGTTGCAGATGTTTTTGATGACTATGAGGATTTGCCACTAGAGGCGCTGACTTACCTCACGGGAGAGTGTAACTATGGCGGGCAGAGTCACCCGACGACAAGGACAGGCGTCTGCTTATATCACTGCTCTCATGTCTTATAGCCGGTGTGTGGCATAGAGAGAAATGTTCATATAAAGATTACAATACATGTGATAAGTATTGTAATTAAGTGTGATATTGTAAATAATGTAGTATTTCTCAGCTGCAAAACAGGATTTTTATGGGGGTTTGAATCTCTTGCTTTTCGCACATTTCTGTGAAGATTTTCACACTTGTTTTTACACTTGTTAACCCTACAGTCATTTTCAACAAGTTGCGTTCCCAATATAGACTGCTGACACGTCTTACACAGGATCTTGTTTGAGAGAAACGACTACAGGTCTCACCCAGTGGGACGTACTATGCGCCACCTGTTGGCGAATACCAGGACTACTTGGACTACATTAGAACTCTCCCACTTATTCCTCATCCAGAGGTGTTTGGACTGCATGAAAATGCTGACATCACCAAGGACAATCAGGAAACTCAGCAGGTGTGTGTGCTGTGGTACTATAATAATATGCTAATGTACTCAATATATACATAGTAACACTACGTTATATATCGTTACTCGTATTCGAGCATACATATGTGCGTGTGCGTGTGCGCATGAGCGTGCGTGCATGTGTGCATGTGCGTGCGTGTGTGTATGTGTATGTGTGTGTGACTAACAGAGCGTACGTGTGGTGTATGACTAGACGAATTGACATAATATATAGCATAACGTTTTGAACACAAACACACACACACATATATATATATATATATATATATTATATTATATAGCTATAATAACGTGAAGTACCGATCCAGTACAAATATCGATACCATATAGTGTATAAGGACGATGCGCGATAGATTATACTATGGTGCTATGTGGAGTGTGTTCGTCTGCGTTATAGTGTGTTTTGACACCCTGTGACGTTGCCGCGCGACGAGTTCCGGGCCGGCGCGGTCTGTCCGGGTGACTATCATAACAGTAGACCTTGCCGCTAAGCCTCAGCAACGCGCTGATTACACATGGAGAAGGTGACTGAGAATGGTGAGCATGGATGGCGATAGGGCCACTTTATAGGATGAGACCCATGGTTAGAAACTAAATGTAGTCATAATCATGTATGTTAGCGTCGACCGGGGGCGAACCTGTAGTATGGCAAACATTTGCAATAAATTAGCAAGTGTGATTTGCGAGTGCTTGGTAACGCTTTTGACTTCTGTGAACTTGGTTCCCTGCCGATACGCCAACGCGATGACTGTACATGGTAACTACGTGGCAGGTGATTCGAAGCAATACGGTGGTGTTGACACGGAGGCGATGAAACACCACGGTATGGAGGCCAGGAGACGTCATCGCTTCACAGCTCTATCCGCGTGGTCGAACAAGCCTTCAGGACGGCTGCGACCGAAAAGCAGTCAAAGGTGAGCGCGAAGCAGGTGCGCGGGGAGGAGGGAAGGGTGCGATGCGGGGCGGGGGAGGGGGGAGGGGCGGAGCGACGATGTGTTCACCTAAGCTGAGAGCTGCTTGCGCAAATTACTCTCAGCTGCGAGTTCCTTCGTCCGAATACGCTACAATGACATTAGTTCTTTCTTCATTGTAATCATCCATTTCACTCGTTCAGTCTCTGCACGAACCAGTTGCCTGTGTATGGAATTGATTACGGTGGATGGAGCGATAACGCCATATTCGCCCTGTTACTCTTGGTTAGTTAGCGGTATAGATGAGTGATGGAGCGATGAAGGATGAAGTGTGCAGAGGCGGGTAGTGCAGCAGCTAAGAATAATGAAGTATAATGGATTTAATGGACATTTTGAAATTCAAGATGGAGGCCAGATACATGTCGATAGAGATGGGTACCCTATCTCAAGTAGTGAATCACAATCTTTAAGAAGCTTAACTCATGTGCTCCTGTGGCTCCTGTACTATTGTGATGATGGAGGGTGTTTGATTCTTGTCTAGGTCTGGTTGTGATGTCATCTGAGCTGGAGGAAGTGTTTAACAGCATGCTGGTGGGGAAGCTACCCGCCTCGTGGGCTGCCAAGTCCTACCCGTCACTCAAAACCACTCGGCAGCTATGTCAGCGACCCCCCTTCTTAGCAAGGCGTAGGAGGCGTGCGTGCGGGTGCGTGTGTGTGGTGTGTGTGATGGTGTGTGTGTTGTTTGTGTGCGTGGTAGTGTTTGTGTTTTGCGTGTGTCTATGTGTGTGGTACGTGTCCGTGAGAGGTGAAGGGTCGGTCCTAGTGTGTGTTCGCATGTGTGGTGCAAGATGCAGTGGTTGTGTGCTGTCGTGGTGCGTGTGTATATGTGCCACCGTTACGTGAAGCCCCATGCTGAGTCCGGGTACACAGCGGCTGGCTCACGTGTATGTGTGCGTGCGTGTGTGTGCGTGCATGCGTGTGTGTGCGGCTGGTGCTGGTGCTGGACACCCTGCTGCAGTTGTGTGTTTGCTGCGCGTCACCGTCTAACTGTTAAAAAGTTTACGCACTAGCCCCCGCACTACTATCTCACACTCCCTACTCTTCATGATGAACCATGTTGCAACCATCGCTATTTGTAGAAGACTAAGTAAGAACCTGTATCGTCTTTTAAATTTCTACAAAAATCCTACTGTGCATCCTTGTCACATACGGCCGCTATCGGCAGTCTTCCGTCGTCTCATGAGATCGTTTTTTCCATTGCTCTGCAACCTTTACTGTACTGACTCAGTACAGCTTTCAGAAACAGTGACTCATGAAATCTAGGATGAAGCTCACAGCTCGTCTGTTTTTATCCCTCTGTCTGTGTGTGGCTGCGCTGTGTGGTAATGGGCAGTGACCGTGGTAGATGCTCTCTCTATCTCTCTACATGGTGTTTGTTACCTGGTGGTGGTTGGGTGATTGTGTCGCGCTGTGACATGGTAGATGGCTCTCTACATGGTGTTTGTTACCTGCGCTCGCACGCCCACCTGCCTTTCGCGTGATTGGATCGTTCGCGCTGTGACACTGGTGAGATGTGCTCTCCTACATCGCGGTGTTCACTCGTACCCTGGTTGAGCCTGCTTCTTCGGTGCATCCCCTTGGCTGTCTCGTGCCACGGTCGCCATGATTTAGATGGATCTCTCCCCCTCCGATCTCTCCTATACACGGGTGTATGGGTACCTGGTGGTGGTTGCGCCTGATGGCGGTGTTCACCCCCCCCTCGCCGGACCCCCAACCGTCGAGTTCAGATGTGCTCTTACCATGCGGTGCGTATTGATGCTTTTTCGGTGGCTATACGGCGCCTTGAAGGTTCTACTCTCAGCAATGACCAATTATCCGACCGCAAGCCAGCGGCAAACTCCCCGCACCGTGCTTCCTGGGATTCTGAGAGATATCTACCTTCACCACATCACAACCGTCCTTCTTACAGGTAGGTCATCTCCCATCCTGTCTCGCTCTCTCTCACACTCGCTCTCTTAATTCTTTGCTTCCTCTTTCTCTCTCTCTCTCTCTCTCTCTCTTACCTGCTCTCTCTCTCCACCTACTCCCCCTCTTCCTGCTCATCTACTCTCTCTCTCTCTCTCTCTCTACTTCTATCCTTCTCCTCTCTTCTCGTCTCGCTTCGTCTTCTGTCTCACCCCACGCCACCCCCTGTCGTCTTCTTCGTCATCATGTCTCATCGTCTCTGTTCACACTGTCTTCTGTCTCTGGTCTCTGTCTTGTCTCTCTCTCCTCTCTCTCTCTTCTCTCTTCTCTCTCTCTCTCTGTTCTCGTCTCTGTCTCTGTCTCTGTCTTGTTCTGTTGTCTCTCTTTCTCTCTCTGCTACTGCTCCTCTCTCTCCTCCCTCTTTCGCTGTGTGTGTGTGTGTGTCTGTGCTTGTGTGCTGTGTGTGTGTGTGCTGGGAGATGTTGTATTGTAGCTGCCGTTGCGTGCGTGCGCGCCGTTGCGTGCGTGGGCGTGTGTGCGGCTTGATGAGATGTTGGTGTGGCGCCTCGTGTGTGTGTTCGTGCGTTGTGTGAGTGTGCGTGTGGCGTGTGTGTATGGGGTGTGATGGTGTGTGTGTGGATGGTGCGTTTTGTGCGTGTCTGTTGGTGGTGCGTGACTCGGGAGTGTGGTTGCGTGCAGCTGCGTAGGCTAACTACACATGCGTCCACGCATGGTTGCAGGTGACTCCGCAAATACGCGCGCAAGTCTATCACATTCCATAGACAGCTGACGCATTGAACTTCATGTGATGGCTGAAGGAATGAAATGACCAGCAGAGGAGAGATGGCCATTATGTGAAGTAGAACCCCTCCCCCCCCCATGCCATCCACTGGCCATGGCCTCCCCCTGCCCCTCCCCACCCCCTGGCGCTGCCGTGAGGAGGGAGGGGGGACGGGGAGGGGTTTATACCGCGTGTTCTCACACAATGTAGGGCATCGGGGCGCAAGGGAGGATGGAGTCTATGTGAAGGTAGGCACCCCTCCCCCTCCCCCACTCTGGCGCTGCCGCAAGGGAGAAGGGAGAACGAAGAGGGGCTTACACCGCGTGTTCTTACACACTAGGGTCTCTGAAACATCGGGGGGGGGGAGGAAGGGTGAACTGGGAGGGAGGAGGGTGTGTGAGATTGGAGCATGCATAGTGTTCGGGCCACATATTCTTAACGTTGTCAAGAGCGAGAGTCATGTCGAATATAGAATAGAGAGAGAATTCTTGAAAATAAAAGAAAAACGCCTTCCTAGTGGCTCGTAAAGTCATCAGTATATAGGGTCAGAGTGGGCAAGCTATGGATGGAGCCCCATATTGCTCTTAAAGTAGAACCACTCTGATTTATATAGGGGGGGCCTAATTCTAAAATATACTTAATGAGCTAAATATTCTAAAAACTCTGCGTATGTATTTTTTCTCGCTCTAACATCGACCATCGTCGTCGTCTCGCTCCGCAGGTTTGTTCCTAGAGGGCGCTCGCTGGAGCCGCGACAAGTGCGTACTGACGAGTCCCTCCCTAAGACTCTCTATGAGACGATTCCATCATCCTGTTCAAGCCAGTGCGCAGGGCGAGAGACAGCAGCTGCTATCCTACTGCGCTCCCGTATACAAGACCAGCGCACGCCGTGGCACCCTCTCCACCACCGGTCACTCACAAACTACGTGCTTAACATTGACTGCCCAGTGACCGTCCACAGAGCCACTGGGTCAACAGAGTGTCGCCATCTTGTGTCAGCTAGATGACTGAATGCGGGAGACCGCGAAGTGGTGGCTGCGCTTGATGGGTGCAGGCTGCTGCTGCTGTTGTTGTAGTTGTTGTTGTTGTTGTTGTTCTCATGCTTCCTGAGGGTTAATTCTTCCATATACACCGTTTATATATATATATATATATATTTATTTATTTATTTATGTATATATATACACATATATATATATACAGTGTATATATGTGTGTTTCACATCTGTGATTAATAATTATCAAAAAAATTGCATATCGACTTGGATATTGTCAGTGATTCCGTCCGTGTTGTCGTCCTCTTATTTCACAATGACTGCTGAGAAAGGTGCAATATGACTTGTTTTAACACTGTAAGTAAATTATATAGATATGCCAAACTGACTCCACTTTTGAATGTTTTTATGATATGTTTATATTGCAACATGGAATGTCTTCCGATCATATATCTACTGTCGCACTCGTACATGTGAAGTACCATGTCGTGTGCACTGTGTGTGCTCGCTGCGTGCCCCTGCTGAGTGCGGCGCTGCCCTGTCTGCGTGCGTGCTCGCGCTGCGTGACTTCGCGCGTACTAGCGTTTGTGATGTGTACTCGTGCGCCCGTGTAAAAGTATATGTTTTTTAACACCCCCCCACCCAAAAAAAAATTAAAAAAAAAAAAACAAATAAAATAAAAAAATTTGTTATAACTTGTATCCATTATATTAAAACTATATACATATCATATTTTCAAAAAAGTCTTGTCATGCATCGTTAATTATATCTCTGAGTGATACAATTAGTAAAGCACAAAGCATTGTCTTGCATTACATATCACCAACATTGTTCTTAATGGAAAGGTGAACCTGTCTTCACGTTTGAACTAATAACAACCGTCATTAGTGACGTCAGTGGTATATACATACATACTATTCTACTATACATACATACATACTATTCTACTATACATACATATATACTAATTCTACTCTACTTCATGATATTCCTATTCTACTAATACATACAATACCATACTCATTCTACTCATACATCACATACCATACTATTCTCAGCCATACCATACTATTCCCTACTATCCATCTATCATGACAACTATTCTACTATACATACATACATACTATTCTACTATACATACATACATACTATTCTACTATACACTTACACTACATACCATACTTCCTACTATACCATTCATCCTATGCCGTAGCGGTACATAACAAGTTTCATATCGTTTAATATACTCATCGATGTACTAATACGAAGCCACAAGTCAATTGCGTCTTGCATTACATTATCAGCAAACAGATTGTTAGCAGCAAGTGAAAAAAATAAAACGTTTGAGACGTAACTAAACAAGCACAGTCAATTAGTCGAGTCAACGCCTGTATAACATAACCAGTCATACGTAGTCTACTCATACATACATACATATCTATTCTACATGAATACATAAACTATTTTTGTCTTTTCTAGCTATAACTATTCATATATGCATTCTACTATACATACATACATACTACTTGCCACATACTACATAGCATACATACTATCTCCTACATACATAACCATATAGTACTATTCTAACTATACAGTTCATATATGTGCTATTCTAACTATACATTACATACATACCATCTCCTACTACAAGCATCATACAGTTCCATCTACTATACTACATACATACCATCAAACACCTATACTACCAATACCACATAATAATCCACCCACAATATACACATCCACTCCATAAACATATCCTAACTATACATCACATACATCACATAACTCATCTCTACTATCACATCATCATTAGCGTACGGTAGCCGCGTGTATAGTCAGGTACACGCACCGAGAGCGACGAATTATATATATATAATATATAAAGTATTATTTCATACATAAATAATATATTATATTTACTTATATATAAATAAATGTGTGTGGCTGTGCTGCTGCCGTGCGCGACGCGCAGGCGGCGTGTGTGTGTGTGTGTGTTTTGAAAATGTATAACGCGATTAAAATAGGTAGGTTATAGAGGTGGTGGCCGCTTTCCATACGCGCACCACACAAATACACGCGTGGGCCAAATACACACACACATACGCGCGCGCGCGCGCACACACACACACACACATGCACGCACGCACACGGATACACACGGGACACCCTAATATATATATATCTATATATATAATATATAGCGTGTGGATATTGATATAAAGCGAAGCACACACTCACGCACGTCATCACACATGCACGCGCGCCGCACACGCTGGAAACAGAGATTTCACTATAAAAGTATGTTATCTGTCGTTTTAAGTATAAAATGCACGGATAACGCGTCATTACCCTTTCTCTATCACTGTTTTATAATTACTTGCAAGACTCGTGTTTTGTCTACTCCTTCTTGTACCTACCAGGGCTGTATTAGTATATATGACAATGACAGGCCAGCCAGCTATAGCTATATATAATATAAATGCTAATCCGACACGGCTATAAAAC